ACGTTAATCACCTACTTACGGGATATCTCACCAGTGAAAGTATAGCGCACGGTATTCTGTTACGGAAGGTTTGTACTGCAAGAAATATCTTCATTCAAAAAAAAAAACCTCGGCGCTCATGTCCTTGGGGGGGGGGACATCCAAGTGAGTGAGCCAATTACTGTGCTTGGGACTAAGCCCTAGGGAGGGAAGGGATCCTGGGGGAGCATGTGAGCAATTTGTGTTCTCCCTGGCGTTTCTCCCTTTGCTGGGCTTAGTCCTAGTCTCACCTACCATCGGCTCTGTTTTGAATGCCCCCCTAGGACATGAGCGTCCTTAGGCTTTTTCTAAAACCTGAATAAAAAATTGTACAACAACAGTTTCACACATTTTCATCATGGAATGGGGAGGGGAAGGAAACAAGATAAAATGTTCTGCTGAAAATCGATCCAAGCAGCTTATATCTGCAAACGGGTCTCATTTTTATGTTTCGCTCGTTGTCGTCCAGTTTATGTTTATACTCCGGCAAATTTGCAGCCAACTGACTGTACACATATTGTGGTGGAATGATCGTAGGCCCGGTAATTCCTCCAACTAATGGCAAACTACGCAGCCAACAGTGGCTGCAGGCATCTGAAGCTAGCCTCCCTAACGATTTTCCACGTATCCCAGCTGCAGCTAACCATAAACAGAAGTGAAAATTTCTCAAGCAGATTGTGAAGATCATAAGCCTTTCAGAACATACCAGAAAAGACACAGGCTAAAGAAGTTCGGTTAGTTGATGAATTCAATTCAGGTTCCAGTACTTCAGTACCTTTTCTATCTAACGAATATGGGTATCGCGATGTCGCCTTTATCAAATAACTCGTTATTTATTAGTTATCAACGTAATCCGCTTCCAGAATATCTTCAGAAGGTTTGTTCTTCGTAACCATCGTTCTCCAATGTCAGCCTTCTGATTTCGTTAGCTTCTTTTTAGGGGCTTAACGTTTCATTGTCCACTGACGATCCTCTACAGTTCCATTACACTAAGGAAGCTTTAATGGAGGAATACTCGATCGCTGCACAGGTACATTCCTTCACTTTACTATTCGATGGATCTTTGGGAGTAACTGGCTATCCGGAAACATGGAAGCGTTTGAATGTGAATGCGGAATTGCGCCTCCGCTGTAGTTTTCGAGGATGTCGGACTCACAAGAATTTGCACCTTCCCAGATAGATCTAGAACCAATGCCTGCCTTTATAATGCAAGATCAAACTTGAGTATCAAACTTAGAGTATTATCCTTCCACTTGAAGTGGGCGAATTGAGATGTATAAGGGAACACTCTTAGAAAATAGGTAGATAACTGTTACTTTACAAAAGGTAAGCCCTTGTTCCTAATCAGACGGTGAGTGAAATAGCATTCTTGTGGAGGACGGGACAGTATGTTGGGCGATCAACTCGCTGCATACCTGGGCTTGAGCGCTTGGCCCTTTTAAGTCCAACCCAGAAATTTGTGTACAGTCTCCCCTGCGCACCACGCAGTTTGATCGAGGAAGCGATCTGCCCATAAATCCACGAACTTCGTCTGATAAACTTAGAATAGCTCTATCCAGATAGGACACAGGATTTCGCTTGCAGCACGGAAATGTGCCACTGAGGCGGCCCGAAGTTCCAATATATTATGTAAATTATGTATTCAGGTATGGAAACTGAGTTCATGTGATATGTGCGAGCTGGCTCGCAATAGCGTTCTTCAGAGTGGATCGAGGAAGATAAAGTGAGCATACATTTCGTAATGAGGTTTTATAATGATCCTTTATAAAAGAGCAAGTATGCAGGACTTTCGGGTGTTCAGTTTAGTGGCGTTACCTATCATAACTATGAATATTTCAGGTGAAAATTCATTGGCTAGGCCCACATTATCAGGAAGAAGGAGTGCTTGGTAATACATTCATCGGACGAACGTCCCAGATATTCGGTGAGTTCGATGTTCAGAAACTAGTGCTCCACAGAGAATTTTTTCCTTACATTTACCGATCTCTTACTTTTACCTGTCTTTTTCTACGAGAGGCGTCGGCATAGTCGCTCCCAAAGATTAAACAACTCCCATGGCCCCCGTAAAGCGCTAAGGGCACCATTCCTGACTGGTGAAAGTATGAGACTTGGACATCACTCATGGAAGATTTGAAAGGATTTCTTTTTTTTCCCACGGGCTCATCTTTTGTCCGTGTATTTTCTTGCCCTAGCTTTGGATGTAGGAAAAGGAATAGTGGGCCCAGTGTCCTCTATCCGTACACAATAGCTCCGCAAGGATGGCTGGATTATTGGCCATTTTCTTGACTATATGTACATGCACGAACTAAAGGCAAATAAATAAAATAAATACAAGGTGGGCCAAAATTAATTGGACCAAGACATTGTGTCGTTTAAAACGCATAGTAGCTTGATGGAACAAACAACTTCAGGGAAGTGTTTGTAACTCTTATCTCAAAGTAATTCCAGAATAGAATTGAGATCTGCCACCTGCCCCGTTACACGAGCCTTCAGATGAAGGGGATGGCGCGTGCGGTGGCACGCAACTGAGGCGTGTCAAAATGTTTCCAGGCCTTCTGCTCTGCTTTCTCCAGGATCAGTTTGGGCATTTATTTGCCCTTGCATCCAGGGTGTGAAATACAGAAATCTAGAGCTATTAGGTGGAAGGTTCCATTGTAACAATTCTTCGAAAGCAACGAACTCGAAAAATCGCTTTTTAGAGAATTTTTGCTTTATTCTTGGGTGCTCGGTCCTGTAAAAAGTCCCAAGTAGACTACTCGAGTGGCTTTCTATCCACTACAGATGTGGAGTCTTTAGAGTGTCTGGCTGGGTTTTCACATCAATTTTTTCATTTTGGGAGTACGAAAGTCGACAAGGGGAGACCTAGTTTCTGCATCTGATAATTATCCTGGTTTCGAGACTCCGAATTTTCCCATTAGAAAGAAGACATTGTACCCTCTCACATAGTGCACAGAAAAGGAGATGAAAATGGAGCGACTCGGAAAAAAGTGGATATGACTGCGCGCGCACGCGGTCCTCATAATTTTGGACCACCCTGTAAATTTGGTCATAGAATCACTCTCATTGAAATATTATTTGTTTATTTGTTTACTTATTTATTCCGCAAATAAAATTAGTGAACACAGAACATAAACTGAGTGAACTAGCTAGGCAGGGCTCCCCCACTTTCTTCACGATTTGGGGCGCGGCCGCGGCGAGCGCGGACGAGTCGATAGTGCCCGCGAACTGTGCGGGTAAATTTGAAAACGCTCCCAGCACAGTTCGCGGGCACTATCGACTCGTCCGCGCTCGCCGCGGCCGCGCCCCAAATCGTGAAGAAAGTGGGGGAGCCGCTAGGCAGCACTCGAGATATCAAGGAGATTTTCCAGTACGAAATTATAAAAGGCAAAAATGTCGACAAATGCAAATTAGGAGGATTCTGTAGGCACAGTTGAAGTTGTACCAGTGAAATAGATTAGCTCCATTGAAAATGATATTCATAGCTGTAGAGAAGCAGTATCACCAGTAACGCCTAAAAATCGTTTCAGAGTGTCATTCCGTCATGAGGCACATGTGGATGAATTGTGCAATCTGTTCCGTGTTCAACACCTCACGAATAGCGATCGCGAATAGTCACTAGTGACGACGGGCTGATCTGAGAGAAAGATCTTCTTCGCTTCAGTTTTAACCTTTGATACCGATTATTGTGTTTTCTTCTCTTTTGCTAGCTGAAGCGTTCACATAACATGAGAAGCTGTTCTTTATCACTAAGGCTCAGAGCATTCCATATCAAGCTATCAATTCCGCTTCCTTACTTCCACTAGAAAATACTAGCTCTTCACGGATGAACTTGATTTTGATATTTCTCATTTTTTGTATTGAAGCTCTTTATCCATATCTCCCTTACGCTATTATTACCACTGTTACTCTAGTTTTTTGTGATGATTTTCATTTGAGAAAAACCCCGTTCAAGGGCAGCTGCAAGAGAAGGGGCATAAAAATCGAAGTATTCGTACCAGACATTCATTAGGGAAACGTGTCGTACGCTGATATGTTGTTTTTGTTATTGAATTCATACACACATATTACATATTCCGAACAACGGAAGGGTCATGAAAACGACGGCAGAAAAGTTTAGTTCAAATAGTTTATACATATTCGCAAATCTCTGTAATGATTTTCTCGATATTAAAGTTTATTGGATGTGGTTGTGATTTTGATGAAAATGAGATTAAACACTGATACAGTACCTTCGTCTCTTCTCCCTCAAGAGCCCTGCCAAAGGACGAATTCACGATGAAAAAGCAACCCATTTCAAATTAACCTAGGGATGGTGAGTGGTACACGAAAGAAGGAAGAACCATGAGAAACGGCCCAGAACCCGAGAAATGGTACCCCTTCCTTGCCCGTTGATTCGAGCATTGATGCGACTCTCATCGCTGTGCCCTCTTCAACACTACGCTCTCTCAGCTATCTAATCACTCGCCACGTATTGAACTACGGCGAGTGATCAGATGATCGGTGGGCGGAGATCGCCGGACCCGCCAGCTTTGAGGCATGATAGGTCGCCGAGGTCAAATTTTTCCATGCGAATTGCGCGTCAGTTTCGCACCCTCAGGAGGTCCGTGGGTCCCTCAACTAGGTCAGTTTCCCTTTCTTCGACCTTCATTCTAATCGTGAATTCCTCCTTTAACCCATTCGCGACCGCGCAGGATTGCGCAATAGCAGCAGCGTCAGGAGATTTTTCTTCAATAAAATCCGAGTGAAGGGAGATTTCCTCTGCCCAGGGCTGGCGTAGATGAGCGAGGGTATGAAGATTCTTTCCATGGAAGAAAACTTTCCAAAAATTTCATTTCAAGCCCTGCAGCTACAGTAATACCATTGTCCCGAGTGAGAGCTTTGTCAGCCACCGTGGCTGACATTGTCACAAATGGGTTAAAGGGTATAGACGATAGGTCGAAGATCGATAAGGGGACCGTCCAGCTGTAGAAAGGCGACCCCCTCCAGAGCGGGCCGGCAAGCGCAACGTCGTGGGGAGGATATACCCGGCGACTACTATGGCATCCTACGGGCGCTGATAGCGCGGCACACACGCGCGACTGGATGCCCACTCTGGTTTGTCTTAGGCCGGTTTAGCAAAGCGCGTTGCGTTGAAGAGGGCAGCCCCGTGACCATTCGCGTCAGCAGCGTATCAACGCCCAAGCGAAGGGTGCTCATTTCCGGGTTCTGGACGTTTCCCCATACTTTTTTCTTCCTCTCGACGTCACTGTCACCTCTCACGGCTGAATTCATATCAATGCTCCTTCGATCGTAAATCCGCTGAGGGAAACCTCACAAATTTTTTCTCCCCGACTGCAATTCTCTACTTATCACAACCGGCTGGTTTGGCGCTCGCCAATCTGGGGATTACTACACACTGCAAAAGTGGAAAGGGTATGAGCAGCAAAGTTTAGAGGCGACACATTGCAATTAGCTGACAAACTATTTGTTCCATCTCTGTCACCACGAAGGCTTTGCATCCTTCAGCCATTGCTGAAAAAATCGGAAGAAAGAGCAAGAAAGATTCAATGCGATGAATGAAACATTATCTTGCGAAAAAGATACGCAGGTGCTAAGGATCACTTTAATGCCTCATAAATGCGTGCTAGGGATACACGCGTGGAGCTCATTCAAACAGCTGTCAGTGTTACTGCATAAAGCTAAAGCACATCTTTCTACCGATGTTGAAAACGCGGTTGCTTTTCACACCTACGCCTTTCGGTCGTCCCAAACGATCTGCAGATGAGCATGATATATTGATCCATGATTTTTGTAGAGCAGTGAATAGTATTTTGAATTCTGTCAATATTATGAAAGCTTTTTGAGATGGTTCTCCACTCGGCAAAGGCGTTCAATGTCAACTGATGTTCAAAAGAAGGCAATCCTAGTATGGGTCATCCTGTAAGTACAGAACGTTTAATATGAAGCTTTCAACCATTACGGAAAAAGAAATTTGCAGGACACAGGACTATACAGTGATACTTCCGCTCTCTTGCAACATTAGCTGTATACGAACATATGTTGAAGTTGAGGGGGCAAAGGCACTCGTAGCATATCCTTATTTCACGATGTAAAAAAAGAAGCGCCAGTAAACAGACCAGGAAGACCAGTTAAAGAAAGGCGAGCGATGAGTGCGAGTCGTTGCCAGCGGCTTGTTCGAATCTCCGTCCGAAAGCTACAGGTTGAGAGATCGGTCTCGAATGGAAGGACTGTTGAAGCTTGATGAGGATGCTCTGCGAAAGATGCTGGAGGAAAACTTGAAAGTAAATTGAGAAATTAACCAAGGTGATCGGATTAACTTCGTATAGCATACATTATACTAAGAAAAGTCCACCTTGGGATAGTGGGCGCCACATCAGCTTTTCCAGTCACCCGGCCACATGGACTGGTGATGACCTCGAATGGAAAATAGCTACATTTCTCTGTTTTTGGGATACTGCACTATCCGACACTAATTTAGCCCGCGGCTTGGAAAATCAATTTGACCGGAAAAAGATAGTGACTATGTATCAGAATTAGGGAGTAGAGAAGTGTTTTTTGACGCAGGATTTTGAGTGGAGGTTCTACAAGTCATGGCATTAAACAATATATGCGGACTGGTTGCCAGCGCGACGGAAAAAGAAAGTTCAGGCAATCATGCAAACCTTTTAGCCTTTCAGGGTGAAACTCCAGTTCGGGGGGGGGGCACTCCATTGTGCTCTCCAATACTAAGGATAAGGATAAGAGTTTTCATGACACGTAATCGATTCATTAAAATTACTTCTGATAAGGACCGGTGTAGTGTGGAAGTACTCCTAAGGTGCTTTCAGATTTCGGCCTGCTGTGGTCCAAGGAAATGGTCCTGAACTAGGGTATGGACATCCTTTCCTAGGCGCAAGGGTGTAGGAGCCCAGGGTGGACGATCACATGCCATAAATTGCCTAGGATGTGAGCAGGATGTGCGTGATGTAGGGCATACACCGGTCCTTATCAAAAGTGCACTTGAAATGAGTCGTTTACCTATTATCTTCATAGGGTTGAAGTCCAAAGGAGTGCTCTCTGGTACGGATAAGATGACAGGGCGTACCCTCCCCTCCAAACTGGAACATCACACCTTTCAGAGTAGACCTAGCCATTTGAGTTTACTGCGATGAGCTAACTATACTGGAGGGAGCGAAAGAAGCATTTTGCCCGTGGCAAGGATCGTCACAGAGTGTGCCGCTGTTGATGGATGTCTACGGCAATATGTTTCTAAAGGTTTCCGGCCGCACTCACTGATCACCCATGTTTTCATAATGAACAAAGCCGTCTGCCTTCACAATCATACACACTCGATTTGCACTAGTCAACTGCGATTAAGGTATCTGTTGATTTGGAACAATTTGAGCCAGAGCAGTGGACTGAATCAAACGTTTAGCCTACTCGAAATTTCTACGACTCCCTTCCCTACTTCCGATGGCTGCTGGTGATGTTAGTGTCTCTGAACCTGGTTCAACTTCACACACGCCACACACTTTCAAACTTCAAAGGCCTTTCGAGCGAGGGGACAGACAAAATCAAACTTTTGTAGGGCTCTTCTGTAAGTCCAAAAAATCCAAAACTCTCAAACAATTCTTCTTCCTATACCTATCTGAAATACGAACTTTTTCGCCAGTATGACCTTTTCCCAAAATAGCAAATTACGCAGTTGTCGTCCGATGCGGCTGATTGAGTCTCTCAGGAAACGATAGATGAAAAAAAACTCAGGTGCAATACTCCGGTCGGGAGGGGGGGGGGGGGGGGGGGGCACTCCATTTTTTCAATACTCTCAAGATAAGGATTAGAGGGCTCACGACACGTAATCGACTCATTTAAAGTAGACTTCTGATAAATATTGGTGTAATGGGTGAGAAACCCTGAAACGTTTTCACATTTCCGCCTGCCATGACCCAAGGGAACGGTCCTGGACCAGGAGAAAGGACACCTCCGCAAAGGGCTAAGGGTGCAGGAGCTCCAGGGTGGATCACCTGTGCAGAAAAGTGGATGGATGGGGCAGA